AAGTCTAGAAAAACTATTTATTACTATTATAACTTAAGAGAACTTATAGAAATAACTTAATATAGCTATTATTATAATTCGGGAGAATATCTATAGCCTATTTATATAGCCTAGCTAACTATAATAAGTATAATAGTATTAATAGCCTAATAAATATAATTCGAGTTTTTAGAAAAAATATACTAGAAGTTATAATAGAGGTTATAGAGAATACTATAATAGCTATAGTAATTAAGCTAAAATAAGTAAAGAATCTAAATAATTATATTCTAGAAAAAGTTAGTTTTAAGTATAATTAGAAAATACTACTTAAATTAATATAGCCTATAGTATAGACCTAGAACTAAAAGAATAAATTTGCTATAGGTACTATAATAGAAATAAGAATAATAATATTAACCTAGAATATATCTATATTTCTTAGTTCTATTACCTATTAATAAAAGAACTTATAAATTATAAATATATTTACTAATTTAATAAAAAATAATATAAAGAGCTATTTAAGCCTAAATAAGAAAGTATTTCCTTTTTCCTTACTAGTAAATACTAGTAATTTAACTAAATTATTTCCTAAGTCTAAAAAAGAGAATTTAACTATAACTTAAATACTTAACCCAAAAATATCTAGAGATTAATAGGAAATACCTAGTTTACTAGATAAGAAAGAGAAAAAGAAACTAGCTAACCAGAATTTATATATAGAAATAAGTAAGTTATATTTAGGAAATCTAAATAGCTACTTTATTTTAGAGGAAATTATATTAAAATTACTAATATTTTAGGTTCTAAAATTAATAAATAATACTAAGATTTAGCTATAAATAATATTTCTATTAATATTATAATAGGTTTCTTATTAAGGAAAAAGAAAAAAGAAATAGAAATAATTAAAAAGGTTTTCCGAAAATAAGCTAGAATAAAAAAGAAGCTATCTTATATAAGAGGCTAAAAGAATATTATTCTAAGAAATAATAAATAAGGGAATAGCCTAGCTAAGAATATAAATATTAATACTTCCGGGAATAAATAAAACAAATTAGGAACCTAATATACTTTTAATTATAATAAGTATAGAATTTCTAAAATTAATAATATTTTAATAAGACTATTAAAAAAAGTAACTATTTTACTTTTAAAAACTTAGAAAGAAATAAGAATATTTATTAATACTTTAAAAATATTAGATTTAGTTATTATATTTTAGAACTAATAAATTAAGAATAATATTTCCTATTTTACTATTTTATAAATAAGAAATACTATTATATTAAGTATAATTAGATATACTAGAAGATTTATAAAACTAGTAATTATAGCTTATATAATAAATAAAATATTTAAGAGATTAGAAATACTAGTTTAGGTATTTAATACTAATAGAATTATTTAATTTAAAGATAATAATATTAATATTTGGATATTACTAGCTTATAAATATATTATATAAGCTTTATATCTCCGGTTTATATTTCAAGGACCTTAAGGAAGTATTAAATATAAAGAAATAATTAATACTAGAACTAAAATTAATATTTTTCCTAAAAAGATTTCCAGAAATATTAATAAAATAGTATATAATACTATAAATTATTAAATATCTATTACTACTAGAATATTGGATTTATAAGAATAATAAAGTTTAGAATTAAGGTTATAAATAAAATAAGATATAAAGATATATTTTTCCTAATTAAAGAAATTTTAAAGATTTTATTTAATTAATTATTCTTAGTAAAAATAAAAATAAATATTATATATAAAAGTAATAATTTATAGAATAAAAGATTTACTAATCTTAAAAATAACTAGAATACTTATATTATTATAATTACTTTATTTTTAAAGAATACTAGGAAATAGAAAAAAGTAATAATTCAAGAATATTAAGCTTCTAAAGTTAAGGAATTAAGTAATATAGAATAGAAAACTAAAAAGAAAAAAGAAAAATAGAGCCTAATATTATAACTAATAATAATATTAGAGAAAATAGGAAAATATTAGAATTTCTTATAGATTCTTTTATTTTGGGTTTAGAAGTTTAGGAAATTAATAATATTTTTAGAGAAACTAAAATAGAAAAGGCCCTAATTAGAATATTATTAAAAGTAGTTCCAGAATTAATAGAAAAAGAAGTAAAAAAGATATTAAATAAAGATATTTCTAAAGAAAAAGTAAAGTAATATCTTCTAATAATAAAGAAATATATTTCTAAAGCTAAGAAATATTAAATTTAAAACTAGAAAGAATTCTGAAATATATAAGAGCTTAAGAAAAATATATTAAAATACTAGATAAAAAGACACTTTTTATATCTAATTAAAAAAAAGCTAAATAGAAAAGTTATAAATTCCGGAGATTAGATAAAAAAAGTACTAGAGAAAATAGCTATAGCTTTTAAAGAAAAAAATAATAATTATAATCTATTTCTAGTTATAGGAATATATAAAATAAAGAATAAAAAGATTTAACTAGTAAATACTAATAATAGAACTAGAGAAAGCTCTAGTAAATATCCGAACTAGTTTAAAAAATCTAAAGCTAGAGAATACTTATAGGAATATACTAGGAAATATAAAAATACTTTTTATTAAAAATATTAGCTATTTTAAAAGATTTATAACTTATTCCGGAATATCTTAAATAATTAGATATTAGTAACTAGCTCTAAAAAAAAAACTAGTTATATTTCAAGAATTAATAATTAATTAAGAAAATATAATTATATTTAATTAAAAAGAAATAGGAAAAGTCTATAAAAATATTAGTTTATTTATTCTAATTAAAATTATTAAATATAAAGCCTAGTAAGAAAAGAATTTCCTATATCCTAAAGCTCTAGTACTAGTAATAATAAAAATATTATTAAAATATCTAGATTATAGAATTCTTAAGAAATATAATAAACCTTACTAAAATCTATAGTTTTTAATTATAAAGAAAGTTACTAGGATTTATAAACTAATTAATACTATTATAAAAATAAATTTAGTAATTCTATAAGATACTAACTTATTTCTATTTACTAATAAGATCTTAAAGAAATTTACTAGATATATTTATATTTCTTTAATTAATTTCTTTTCTAAATATAATTAATTTATACTAGATACTTATAATAAAGATTTAATTATATTTATAATATTTCTGGAATTATTAAGAATAATTATATTACTTTAGGAAGCTATTAATTCTATTATATAGTTTATATGAGTTATTATAACTATTCTAGAAGATCTATTTCCCAAAATCGCTATATTATTTATTAATAATATTAGAATTAAGAAACTTTATATAAAATATAATAGATAGCTTATTTTACTCGAAATTCGGTATTTATATTTAAATATCTTTAAAACCTAGATATAACCCTAAATAAAATTAAATAAACCAGAGCTAATCGTGCATCGAGACTAGTACTAAAGCCCCTGCGTCCCTGCGGGTTTAGTGCGTATTAGTAATATGGTCAAAAATCAGTAATACGGTCATTTTTTTAGAATACTAATTTTCCTAATTTTAGTAAAAATCAGAGAAAAATATTTTATAGTTTATATGGAGTTCATACTATATTTAATAAATCAAATTCTCTTACTTTCATATTATATATGCATATAGTAAAAAATAGTAGAAATATTATATACTTTACCTTACCGGCGACCCCCCCCAAAATGCTACTAACTTAGAAATCAATTAATTACAGAATAACCATATCCTAAATCGTGTACCTAATAATAGTCTCCTCTCTACTAGCTTCTAATCTGACTATATAACCAAAGCCATTATTATAAAATAAAGGGGGAAGGGATAGTAGTCTAACAAAACCAAGCTCCCTAACTAGTATTTCTACCCGTATATTACTAAACTCACTAATTCATTCCTCCTGGTATCCGGGAGAAGCTAGCCTAAAATCTATCTTATTCGCATAAAAGAGCTCTATCTTGCAATCGATTTGCCTCTATTCCGCCTATTTTGCTATTAATTTTTGGTAGTAAGCCTTTAGACTAGTTTTACTATATTTAATAAATAGTGGTTTATTCCTATAGCCAAAGGGCTCCCCTAAATCATACGGAGCTATTTCCCCCCGAGTACATCTCCTGCATAAAAGCTTACTAGTAATATGCTTTATAATATAGGTATTAGTCTCCCTAATTCGGCGATTTAGATAGGCATTAGTATCTATCTCTTTAGGAGTAAAGAGAGACTCTCTGTAATATGCGATTTGACATATAGCCGAACCCTTGAATATAACTCTATACTTTTGCATATGCTTCCTATCCTTCTTATCTAGCTTATTATACTATTCCTGGAGTACTACCTTCTCTCTTGCAAGCTCTCTTTCCATAATTAGCCTAGCCTTAATTAGCTTAGGCTCAGTCGACTTCTAGTATACCCTCCAAGATCTCCAAAAACTTGGTATAAGAGCGTATTCCTTATTATTCTTTATAAGGATAAAATAATCGTCCAAATATTAATATATATAGGTATTATATACCGTATGATTTATAAAGGTAGGGGGGTTTTGGAAGGGTTTTAATAATAGAGGGGTTTGCGGGAATAAAGACTCGATTTACTTATCTACTATAAAATTAGCCTATATTACTATATAAATTACTAATTAATAAACCTTCTTTTAGTTCGAATTAAGCTAGCTTCTCGTATATATACCGTATTATATCAGGTCCTAATAAGCCCGCTTTAGTAAAAGTACTAATAATAGTCCTATACTTAAATGTCCTCCCACAAACCGTCTGGTATGCCCCTAGAAAATCAAGCTTAATATAAATAATATTACTATACTAAATCTTATCATAAATACTAATTTAATACTAGTACTTGAGAGGTTAAAAGAGGCCAATATCAAACGGTTAAAGGAAATATATACTATATAGTAATAGTTAAAAGGGGACGATCTTGTGGGACTAGTAATAATATAAGAACTTGTCTGAAGTATAGGAGCCATACCCGTCAAAAATCAATATCCTCTATTTGCCTTATATACGTTAATATATCTGATTATGGAAGTACTTAATATATTTTAGGCTTAGAGTATTATTTATATACCTAGTAGAGCTTATAGCAAAGACTAATTCGGTATCCAGATTATTATTAAAATATGCCTTTACTAGGATCTCTCCCTTTAAAATAAGAAATAGTATAATTGCTTTGCCCCTAGCGAATATAGTTTCGATTATAGTAAGTAATTCTCAATTATCGGGATCTGCCAAGTAGATAGCTTTCGTATTAAGGTATATAATAATAATCTTTCTATTTAAAATACTAATGCGAAAGCCGGTTTCGTCTATATTCTATATATCTTTAAAGCAGATCCCATACTTCTCTAACGTCCCATAATACTCCGTAAAATACTCTTCCAGATCCTCCTTTTAATATACCGCCTTCCGCTCTTATACTAATATCTTTGCGCAAAGGGTTTTAAACCATGATTTATTCCATTTAAACCATTATTATACCTATAGGCAGTTTACTTGGTAGGTAGAAGCGCTATCCCCAAGGATCTTATTAGCCGCCGCCTGCATTATCTTGAGATTAGCTCTATGGCCTAAATAGATTATAAAATTAATAAATTACTTTAGGGCCTTCTCCTAATCAGGATTAAGGACCTTATTAAGGCCCCCTTTAGTATTTTGTAATATACGGCCAGCCAAATACGCTTTCCAGAGGCGTAATTTGACCCTGAATTAATATATAATTATAGATTTTTTAATATATGGGTTCCTGGTATAGAAATCGGAGGCCTGGGCTATCCTTTTCTCTTCTTCTGGGTCAAATTTGGCCATGGTATTAATATTTAATTAATTAAAATTAATATAATAGTAAAAAAAATAACCGTATTACTAATTTTTGACCGTATTACTAATATGTACTAAACCCGCAGGGATACAGGGGCTTTAGTACTAGTCTCAATACACGATTAGTATAAGAGAAAAATTATAGTTCTATTATAATAATATAGTTATTATTAGCTTTATTTATAGAATATTTAAAAGAAGTTTTTTAAGTTTAGGAATTACTAAGATTTTAAAATAGGAATATTATAATAATATAATTAAAGGCAAAGTATTTATTAGAATTATTATTTACTATTATATTTAGATTAAAGGCTTTATAATTATTACTAAACTCATTTACTATTTAATAAGAAAAAGTATAATATAGAACTGAAATAATAAATAAAAACAAGCTATATAAATTCTTTAGAAAAAGCTTATTACTATTCTAATATTCTATAAGTTATATTATAATTTATTAGAAAGTTAGGGAATAATTATATTAGTAATAAATACTGGCCTAGATAAATAGGGCAGAATTCTTAATTAATATAATAATAAAGAGAAAAAGAAAATTATATAATATAAGTTTGAAATCTAGAATAATACTAAATAAAGATATAATATTACTAAAAAAGAATACTAAGGGCTAGTAAAGTATTTATAGAAAGTATAATTCTAGCTATATAAAGTTTATTTTATCCTTAAACTAGATATTAATATACTTATTATATAGCTAAATAAAATAGTTATAGATTTTCCTAAAGTTCTAGTTATTTACTAGCTAGTATAAATTTAGTTATTTGATTTTAAAATCAAGTATATGAAAAGAACTAAATATACTATTACTAATAGATTATTAAAATATTTATAATAAGAAAGTAATACTAAAAATAATAAGAATATTAATAAATAATTAGTAATAAAGCTTAATATTATTAGAATAGTATTTATTAGGCAGAAAATTCGAGTAAAAGAAGTAGTTCCGGTTTAGTTATATAATATTATTTTAAGGAATTAGATTCCTAAAACCTTTATTAGATATTTAGATAATAGTATTTAATTACTAGAGATTAATAATTAAAGCCTTATTATATCTAGAAATAAATTAATAATATTAAAAAATAATAAAATCCGGAAATTATATAATAAAGGCTATAGTATTTTATATATAATTACTAGTAAAATAGTAAATAATAATACTAACTTATATATTTTATTTAATAACCTAATTATTTTACTAGATTCTTTAAATAATAACTATTTCGAATAATACTAGAATATTATATAATATCTTATAATATTCTCTAGATTAAAAGAAATATCTAGGGCCGAGTTTTAAAAGTTAAATAAAAAAGCTTTAAATTATAATATAAGAGATTAATTACTATAGAGAATTATATCTAAAGTATACCTATCTCGACTTATTATTAATAATTAAAAATAAAGGGAAATTATTATTAAAAAGCTATATAATAAGATTAGATATACCGGGAAAAAAAGTACTTTTTACTTAGTAACTAGTTATTATTACTAGAAAGGTTACTATAATTATATATAAAAATATATTAATATCTATAAAGTTTATTAGTATAAAAGTAAAATAAAATAAAAAGAAGCTTTATATCTAATAAAAGCTATATTTCTTTTCTATTACTTTGGGATTAATATAATTAAACTACTAGACTATAAAGAATATAACTTATTAATTATTACTAGAAATAATTTCTTAGAATAGATTAAAGCTAGACCTTTAAAGAATCTAACTAGTAAAAAGATAACTAAGTTTATTTAGGAAGAAATTATTTATAAATATAGTTTATTTAGGTAGCTTAAGGTAAATAGTAGATTAGAATTTAAAGAAATAGTAATTTAAGGACTTAATAAGCTAGGAATTAATAGAATTATTATTTTGGCCTATAATTCTAAAGGAAATAATATAATTAAAAAAGGATATTAACTAATTATTTAAGTATTTATTATATTTATAATAAATAGAAAAAAACCTTAGATAAATTTACTATTATATATTCTATTTACTAATTAAATAACTATATATAAACTAACTAGATTTATTCTTATATAGTTTATAGTAAGGAAATAGTATTATTTATAGAAATATATTTTCTAATCTAGAGAATACTTAAATAAAATAAAGTCTATAATAGAGAAATACTTCTGGAAATATATATAAAATAAATATAAATAAAAGATAAAAATATTAAAGAAGCCAGAATAAAAAAGAATAGAAAATACTAAAAAAGAAAGAAGTAATTTAATATTACTTATTAGATTTATTTAAAGCCTATTTCTAAAAAAAATCTAGTTCTTATATATAATATTAAATTAATAAATTAAGACAAGTTAAGAAATATAAAGCTATTATATTACTAGTTTAGCCTATATAAAATAAAATATATAGATTAACTAAAAGAATACTATATATTAGAAAAACTTAATAATATTATATTCCGAAGAATATATATTAGGAATTAATTTAAGTAATTTATTAAAAGAAATTAATTCTAGTATTTCCCTAAAAACGAAATTAATAATAAATATATATCTATAAATAAATATTTTAAAATAAATATAGAACTTGAAAAAGAAGTAGTTATAGAATATTATAAGTAAAATAATATTTAGAAAATTAAGAAAGCTATTAGTATTATTATATATATTCTAGAATTACTAGAATTAGAAAAAATAAAGTATATTTCTTTTATAAAAAACTAAAAAGAAATATCTAATAATAAGAACTCTTTTTAACCTAAAATAAAGCTTATTATCTTTAATTTCTTATATACTTTTTAAATTTTTCTTCTAACTATTATTTATAATCTTTAAAAAATATTATTATTAGACTATTATTCTAGAAATTAGATAAGCTTTATTATTATTTATTTTTTACTATTATCTAATTACTATTACTAGATAATATTCTTAATATATGAAATTCTATTACTAGATTTTAGGAATTAAATATAAAGAATTTCTTTTAGTATAAAAATAAATAAGAAATTAAGAAATTACTTTATAAATTCTTGATTTCAAATTATAGTAATAAATAGTAATTATATTTGGAATTAGGAAAAGAAAAGAAAAAGAAAAGAGATCTTTTATATATATTTTACTAAACTAGAAATTTTTTAAAGGCTTTATTTACTTTTTTAACTAGCTATTTTTATAGCTTATACTAGTCTAAAGCTTAATTATAATAATTATAAATCTCGATTTTAACTTAAACTACTATTATAAGTTTTCTTATAATATCTAAATAAACTTCCTAATTAGGAGTTATATATAAACGGAATAGCTAAACTAGAAGCCTTATAAAAAAAAAAGAAATCTTATTAAATCTAATAGTTATTTCTAAAAGTATTTAATAATATATAATTTTAGAAATCTATTAGATATTAAATAAACTAGATCTGCCTATTTAAAGCCTATCTTATATTAGAAAACCCACTTTCTTTTTAATATAACTATAGCTATTCTTAAAACTTATATTAAGGCTTAATTAGTATATTATATATTCCTATTTCTATATAAAGAGAACTTTTCCTATATAAAACCTATTTCCTAATTAAGATATTATTTTATTACTAGAAACTAATTATTTTTTTAAAAAGCTAATATAATTTACTAATTTTTATTATTAATTTATTTCTTATTATTAAATATTATCTAAATAATTCCTATATTCTTAATACTAATTCGGAATACCTAATCTTTCTATATTCTATATTAATTTTAATATTAACTATTCCAAATTTAATAATAATATTATAAATCTTATTTATATTATCTTATAATTCTTTTTTTATATATTTTAATATCTTTAATATTATTTTTATTAATATAAATATTATTTTAAAGTCCTAAATAACTAAATAGTTTTATATTATTTAAAATTAACTTTAATAAATATTAAATAAATATAATTAGCTTTTAAAAGAGATATATATTAGTTTTAGAAAAAGTAATATCTTATTTTAAGTTATTTCTTAATTCTATTATTTTAATTTCTTTTTTATTAATACTTATTTTATATTTTTCCTAATATCTTTAGTATATTTATATATTTTATCTTTTATATATTTCCTATATTATTTCTCTTTTTTTATACTATTTTTTAAATTAATAGAAATATTTCTAAATAAATAAAAGATTAGAATATATCTATATTATAAAATTTTTATTATTCTTTTCTATATTCTAATACTTTAGATATTATTACTATATCTATATTTCTATTATATTACTTTCTTATTTCCCTATTATTATTATTTAGTTTAATTTATCTTAATTATTTCCTTAATTATATTTCTTTAAATATATATATTTATATTTTTTTCTATAATAAAAGCCTAATTTTATATTTTATCTTTTATAATTATTTCTAATTTATAATT